CTCTGCGGCATCTTGATGAATGATGTCCGGACAGATGCAAGTCGTGTTCGTGGGCCTTTATTGTGTACTGGAAGGCACACCACAGGCTGTGCCACCACAGTCACAGTTAATGCTTTGGCAACTTTTTTGAATCAAAAGTCAGTGCATGACTTGGATGCACTGCATTGATCCTCTCCCCAACTCGTCTACAGTAGTACCTTCCCTTCTTTCCAGTGCCTTTGCAGATCAACATAAGCGAAGTTGCAGCTCGTAGTGTGGTCTTGAAATGGAGTCAACCCAGCGGACGACAAGATGGGCTGAGTGGTTTCCTGGTTCGAGTATATGAGAGGTCGCAGGATGGACGAAGGTCTCACGGCCACTCCGTTTCCAACTGCACCACCACTGTGGTCGACGTAGTTGATGATGTAAACATCTGTCGTGTGGACGACCTTCAACCCTCCACGAATTACAGCATCACTGCGACAACCTTCAAGAGACATCCGAGAGATGGGATCATCTATGGAGATGAGTCAGAGGCAATTGATTTTACCACGTGTAGGTCACATCCCGCTCTCTAATCACCTGCAATAATTATAGTTGATAAACTTAGGCATTGTTTCTACTAAATGCTCCACGCATGATTGATTGACCTTTGCCTTGCCTATCCTTCAGGCCATCCGCTTCCTATAATGGCAGTGACAGTCAGTCTCCTGTTTGTAATTGTGATTGGCCTTCTTTTTGCTGCATTTCTGTTTCGACATCAACTTCGAAAACTAGCCAGTCGGCTGAAAGAGAAGGATAATACAACTGACATGTCGCAGCCGTGAGTGCACTTTGTAGCCGGTTGCTCATGCTATACCATACTGCAGCATTTCTATGCAACATTCATTGAATTGCAAATCCGTAGGATTTGAACTGACTCACTACTTTGTTTTGTCGATGACACTAACTTTTGGTGAAAGAGGGTCACTTTATGCCTTCAATCTCACCTTTTTTGAAACAAGTACCACGCCAATCACTTTAGTCAATTAATCTCAACAGAACGTAATGGGTAGGTGAAGTAGCTGATTGAATTTTGACCTTGTGTGCTAGCTTCCCGTAGGGTTAAATTTTGAAGACTTGCTTTCATGTGCCAGGACCACGTAATCCATTGATTTGTGGCAGGTAACTTCAAGAAAATTTTCCTTATGTATTTCGACATTTTAGGAATTGGTGGACAATGGAACAAATTCCAAGGTATACTTTACAATATTAACTTTATCCCTTGAATATGGTAGTACATTCGTGAGACTGGGAAATTCGTTCCAGTGGCAAACTAACAGAATTCTGAAGAAAACTTGGTCTTAAAGCTGCTCTTATGCATCTAGAGTAAACCACCGCCTTTAATTCTAATTTTTATTATAATCATACTCATATATCTCAAATTATTAAAGGCAACTTTGCTCTCATTTAAAGCGGATCCTTCACAATTGAGTACCACCGACCATTCAGTCTGCAGTACCTGTCCCAAGTGTAAGTTGAACTCTGGCTAAACCTTACACTTTAACTATAGTAACAACAAATCTTAGAAAAATCCGGCAGACTGTTATAGCTCGCCCCGTTCATCCTACTTTTTATCAATTGTTAACTCAAACCCAATTGTTTTGAATTGCAAAGCCCGGCACCAGTGGCGTCCCAGCAACTTGACGCTTGCATTGAGTCCCTCGATTCGAACAAACAATTTATTCCGCACTTTATGGTAAAGTATTTTGTGGATGTTGCAGTAACAGTTCAAAGCTTGCTTTTCTTTGACTTGACATTGCACATTTTCAGACTGTACACTAGCCAATTGTCAGTTGTCACTTTTCACTCATTTAAGGCACCTTTCTGCGTTTACCTAATTAAAATAGCCATATTTCTGTGGAATCCACACTGACGCCAGTATTGTGTCTCTTGATTCAAATAAACAGTTTATCCCTCACTTTATGGTAAGGCATTTGTCACGCAATATTCTGTTTTCAACTAAATATCATAGCCATAATTTTGCAGAATTCCATGACCCAGAAACCCACATTGACATTTGATTCTTTGTGGCACTTCTATATGACCGAGTCAGTAATCGAAGGAGAAACTGTATAGCGAAATTAAGCTTTGTTGAATTTGTACAATTGCTTATGTTGCTGCCCATTTCACTTTCAAGTTGCTGAAGAAGATTGCAGTGACGGGGGTTGAGAATGAGTTTCACCTGACGAAAAATGCGGGACTGCAACGGAGGGAACTCAATCGCTACATTGATATGCTTCCATGTGCGTTGAATGGCCACTTTTATAAGCATCCCGAAAAGTGCCAAAGTGAAAAGCCGTTTCACTGCATCTGTTTTAGATGATCAATCAATTGTTATCTTGGGAAGGCGGTGGCCAAGAATTTTGGACGATCCCGAGCCCAAAATCACCGTAAGTTGCGATCGGTCACCCATCAAAATGGTTGCCTTTCTCCATGCTTAAATTTGCTTAAAAGACTGTTGGCTTAATAGTAGAACATGCGACTCTTTGCCTACAAATGCCGAGTTAAGTTGGACTAACAAATTTGCATTCCGCTACCGTTATCGCATGTATGAATCACTCCATTTTACTTAGCGAAGCTGTTCGTTGCGACAGTGTGACACAAGGTGCTGAACATCATATGACAACCGCTTGCAACAAACCATGCCATGGACTGGGTGCTTCTTGCTATAACAACAATATGGTCTTAATACTTTCCTGAGCGGCACAGAATTACGTGTATTTAGCTCTTGTGAGGGAGTTTCATTGTTCAGTTCGGTGGTACAGCTCTTGATCCCGAACTAAAACAGCAAAGCACCTGGGGTGTAACGATCGGTCTTCCTCTGAGACACTAACAAGGAACAGGTCAATGAGCTGCAAGTGATGAGTTTT